TCATTTTGTCAATTTCACAATAAAATTTTCAGTTTTTTAACCGTAACTTCAGATTTTCGAACATAAACCACTCTGGAGATTTTCTTAACGGATGCGCCATTGTCTCCTCTACAAAACCTTTATAGTCGTTGCCCGTCACAATCTCTTGAAATTGGTCCAAAATTAACTTTAATTGGCCTATCCCCCTAATCTCATTTTGTCAATTTCACAATTTCAGATTTTTAACAGTAACTTCAGATGTTCGAACATAAACCACTCTGGAGATTTTCTTAAACGATGCGCCATTGTCTCCTCTACAACACCTATATAGTCGTTGCCCGTCACAATCTCTTAAAAATGGTCCAAAGTTTTCTTTTAGTGCCCTACCCCCCTAATCTCATTTTGTCAGTTTCACAGTAAAATTTTCAGTTTTTTAACCGTAACTTCAGATTTTCGAACATAAACCATTCTGGAGTTTTTCTTAACCGATGCGCCATTGTCTCCTCTACAACACCTATATAGTCGTTGCCCGTCACAATCTCTTAAAAATGGTCCAATTTTTTCTTTTAGTGCCCTACCCCCTAATCTCATTTTGTCAATTTCACAAGAAAATTTTCAGTTTTTTAATCGTAACTTCAGATTTTCGAACATAAACCACTCTGGAGATTTTCTTAACCAATGCGCCATTGTCTCCTCTACAACACCTATATAGTCATTGCCTGTCACAATCTCTTGAAATTGGTCCAAAATTAACTTAAATTGGCCTATCCCCCTAAATTCATTTTGTCAATTTCACAATTTCAGTTTTTTAACCGTAACTTCAGATTTTCGAACATAAACCACTCTGGAGATTTTCTAAAACGATGCGCCAATGTCTCTTCTACAACACCTATATAGTCTTGTCCGTCACAATCTCTTTAAAATGGTCTAAATTTTTCTTTGAGTGCCCTACCCCCCTAATTTCATTTTGTCAATTTCACAAGAAAATTTTCAGTTTTTTAACCGTAACTTCAGATTTTCGACCATAAACTACTCTGGAGATTTTCTTAAACGATACGCCATTGTCTCCTCTACAACACCTATATAGTCGTTGCCCGTCACAATCTCTTGAAGTATGTCCAAAATTAACTGAAATTGGCCTACCCCCTTAATCTCATTTTGTCAATTTCACAATTTCAGTTTTTTAACCGTAACTTCAGATTTTCGAACATAAACCACTCTGGAGATTTTCTTACACGATGCGCCAATGTCCCCTCTACAACACCTATATAGTCGTTGCCCGTTACAATCTCTTCAAATTGGTCCAAAATTTTATTTTAGTGCCCTACCCCCTAATCTCATTTTGTCAATTTCACAAGAAAATTTTCAGTTTTTTAACCGTAACTTCAGATTTTCGAACATAAACCACTCTGGAGATTTTCTTAACCAATGCGCCATTGTCTCCTCTACAACACCTATATAGTCATTGCCTGTCACAATCTCTTGAAATTGGTCCAAAATTAACTTAAATTGGCCTATCCCCCTAAATTCATTTTGTCAATTTCACAATTTCAGTTTTTTAACCGTAACTTCAGATTTTCGAACATAAACCACTCTGGAGATTTTCTAAAACGATGCGCCAATGTCTCTTCTACAACACCTATATAGTCTTGTCCGTCACAATCTCTTTAAAATGGTCTAAATTTTTCTTTGAGTGCCCTACCCCCCTAATTTCATTTTGTCAATTTCACAAGAAAATTTTCAGTTTTTTAACCGTAACTTCAGATTTTCGACCATAAACTACTCTGGAGATTTTCTTAAACGATACGCCATTGTCTCCTCTACAACACCTATATAGTCGTTGCCCGTCACAATCTCTTGAAGTATGTCCAAAATTAACTGAAATTGGCCTACCCCCTTAATCTCATTTTGTCAATTTCACAATTTCAGTTTTTTAACCGTAACTTCAGATTTTCGAACATAAACCACTCTGGAGATTTTCTTACACGATGCGCCAATGTCCCCTCTACAACACCTATATAGTCGTTGCCCGTTACAATCTCTTCAAATTGGTCCAAAATTTTATTTTAGTGCCCTACCCCCCTAATCTCATTTTGTCAATTTCACAATTTCAGTTTTTTAACCGTAAATTAAGATTTTCGAACATAAACCACTCTGGAGATTTTCCTAAACGTTGCGCCAATGTCTCCTCTATATCACATATAGGCAGTCGTTGCCCGTCACAATCTCTATAAATAGGTCAACAATCAACTTAAGGTATCCCCCCTTTTCGTTTTTAATTACAATTTTTTCAACCTTACTTCAGATTTTTAACATAAACCATCCTGGAGTTTGTCTTAATAGATACGCTAATGTCTCAGCTGCATCACCTATGCAGTCGTGTACCGTCACAATCTCTATAAATGGGTCAAAAATCAACTTAATGTATGCCCCCTCCTCCTTTTTCGTTTTTACAATTTCAGTTTTTTAAACTTAACTTCAGATTTTTAAACATAAACCATTCTGGAGTTTGTCTTAGTAGATACGATAATGTCTCCTCTATGTTACCTTTACAGTCGTTGCCTGTCACAACCTCTATAAAATTGGTCAAAATCTTTATGGTATCCTTTTTGTTTTAATTTTTTTTATTCGTTTTTGTTTAATATTTTGAATATTCTCATAATTGTCCGCTTGGTCTCCGTAATTGTTCGCTAGCTCGAAAAAACGCGATTGTCTTATGTGAAATTGTGGTTTTTAGTTATACATCCTAATTGTTCGCTGGCTAATTGTTCGCTACAATTGTTCGCTAGCTTGAATCAAGTCTGATGTTTGAGATTGTCAGACAATTATATCTAAATTTTAATGATAAACTTTCTAGAAAGTCAGCTTGAGTTATGTACGTCGTTGATCTTATTTTTGTTAGAAACTTGTGCATATTGTCATCGTTGTTTTGTATAAATTTTTATATTCTGTAAAAGCTCACTACTATGCCGAATTTAAATAAGTGTTCTGTCAAAAATTGATATGTTTTGGTTATTAGTAATACCCGTTTTTACCTGACTGGTCACGAATGGGCATGCTGTTACTGTTTCTGTTACTGTTACTGGTAATTTCCTCCTCTCTCAGGAGCACTCCCAAAGGGATACATAAATTTTAAGATATAGTCTAAAAAAGATATTTACAACTTACGTTAAACTGTACAGTTATCCCACCACCCTTGGTTATTGCGTATACTAAAAGCTTTGTTCATTTGGCATGTTTTAAGTTTATTTACACATTGTCTATTACTTATTATGTTTCATCTTTTAGGAGATAGGTTCTCCTCACATGTAGTCCATAACAAAATGTTCTAGTTATTTGCTCAATGTCAGTATAGTTGTCCTGTTTTAAGTGAATAGATGTTCTCACACTTTCGCAACTAGAGTCAAGAATAAGTCGCATTAGAAGTCCTTCTTTTTCAAGATCTTCGTACGCTCCTTTTTTGATGTTTTCTATAAAACATTTTAGAGTGGTCAAGTGTTTTTTCCTTACGTCTTCTAATCTATCGCATATCAGTAAAAAATGTTCTATATCTTCTGTATCATTAAAGCACATTTTACATTTTGCTGTTTCTTTGTTATTACTGAACTTGGCTTTATTAACTTGTAAAGTATAAGTTTCCGTTAACAGTCTGGCTTTTATTTCAGCTTTTTTCACCTCAATGTGACAGTTTGGTACAGATTTCCAAATCTGATGAGCATTTCCAATAGCATGTGACTGAATATGCAGTAGTTTCAAGGTTGACTTCTGTTGTTTCTCTTCTTGCCACTTATCATCCCAGTAGTGTATTATATGTTTCTTTACTATTTTTTTTCCATATCAGGGTATCTAATTCATTCTCTAATAATGTTTTAATTTCTGGTAAACCATATTTCTCTAATCTCTGAATAACTTTAATAATGTAACTTTGCCCATTGCGTTTGCCATGCTTAGTTGTCTTTCTAAAATTTTGAATTCTAAAGTTTCTTTGTTGTGGAGGAGATTTCCTAGGAATGTTAATATTAATCGGTCTACAACTACCTCCTACGTTTTCCATATTTTATAGGCTACTATTGGAGACATTCCTTTCCTTGCATGCAGTCCAGGTCCAAGTAAAGCATATAGAGTTTTTCTTGCTAGTTTTAGTCGATCTTCAGTGTTTAGTTTGTTTTTGCTATTTCGTATCAGTCCTAGATGTTTTGTTGCACTCTTTTGGGTTATCTCATCTTTTCCAAGGTATACTTAGAAATTACTTTGACACTTAGTGATCGGTACCAAATCTGACTTATTTGGGTTTATAGTTACTCGATCTCGTTTTGTACAGTTTTCAACAATGTCCAATAATGCTTGTACTTCATGTTGGTTTTCTGCCAATACAGCTATGTCATCAGCACATGTTGGGGCCATTACTTTTATGTTTCCTATTTTAGCTCCAATGTCAGATCTTTCTAGTGCTTCCAGTATATTGTTATTATATCTCTTATATAGAACTGTTGACAATTGAGCTCCTTGTCTTACACCTTGTGTTACTTTCACTTCACCTGAGAGATTGTTATTCCATTTCACTTGTATAGACATATTTCTATATAAATTACGTAGAAGTATGCAAATTCCACCAGAAATACCGTCATGATATAAGTTGTGAAAAAGTATCTCATGATTGAGTTTATCAAAGGCCTTTTGGGCATCAAGGGTAAGTAGAAAAAGTTCTCTTAAAAGTTCCTTATAACAGTCTGCTGTTTGTGTAACAATAACCGCTGTATTTAGTAATGATGCCTTTTCCGTGAAACCACGCTGTAATTTACTTTGTTTTGGTAGCAGAGCTGGTTCAATTCTGTCTTTCAAGAGGCTTTCTAGTACTGTTGAAAAAGTATTAGTAACTGTTATACCTCTGTAATTTTCTGGGTACATCTTGTCTTTGCCGGTTTTTAATACTGGAGTAACGGTTCCAGATTTAATTTTCTCTGGCACATCTAGATTGTCAAAAATTAAATTTATGATAAATACTATAAATGGTACATGCGCGGAATAGGTAAACCGGAAATCAAGACATTTGTAATCAAAGAATGAAAATAATGTAAAACTTCAGAACAATTTAGGAATTTCACGGAGAGAAATGGAGATTATAGTACTTTTCATCAGTTTCGTTACATGTGGTAATGCATTAATTAAGATATAGTATTTTAAAACATTTTACAGTTCAACTGTCAGATTAAAATGGTGTTGGAGAAATGCGGAAATGAAATGAATCATGTTTGTAAACACACATCAGAATATTATATTGAAATGGTCAATGATTGTGAATGCTTCATTGATAATTTTATCTGGGTGTTATTTAATCCCTTTTGGGATTCTGTGTCTTGAAGATATATTTCCAAATATTATACGGATTTTGAAAAGCAAAGTGTTATCAATTTTTACCTGCTTCAGGTGTACAGAATCAATTTTTACCTGCTTCAGGTGTACAGAATCAATTTCTTACCTGCTTTAAGTGGACTTTATGGTACTGTACATAAGCATAGAAGCCACTGGTTTAAGGGGAGGGAGTTGTTAAAAAATTCCTGAATAGAGTTGATAAGGCTTGAAAATGGATTCTTAGGGCTGCCAAATCAGAAAATTACTACTGACACAGAATCCTAAAAGCATTATATAATTTGGGTGCAAAACTATTGACGAAATCACATTTTGTCATATAGCACATGATCAACGCTTGCACAACATTGTCTGTATGGGCTTCATCCAAATTGTGGACTTGTAGATGTTGCATTTAATTGGGAAATCTGTAATAAAACATAATTGTTAATTGCCTTTCCAAAAAAAAACAGTAAAAGAAATAGCTCGTTGTGTAGTTAAGTTGACTACATATTCTATTTCTCCTAACTAACATATTTTTAATAGAATTGATCTAAATTTTGCTATGATCTACAATATATACATGTAACTATTAACTGTAACATTTACTATGTCTACAACATATACATGTACTATTAACTGTACATTTACTATGTCTACAACATATACATGTACTATTAACTGTACATTTACTATGTCTACAACATATACATGTACTATTAACTGTAACATTTACTATGTCTACAACATATACATGTACTATTAACTGTACATTTACTATGTCTACAACATATACATGTACTATTAACTGTATATTTACTATGTCTACAAAATATACATGTACTATTAACTATACATTTACTATGTCTACAACATATACATGTACTATTAACTACATTTACTATGTCTACAACATATACATGTACTATTAACTGTACATTTACTATGATGATCAAAATTGAATTATATTTTACAGCATTTGCAATTGACCCAAATGTTACGATTATTGATGAAGCACCAAAAATGGTGATTGGTGTAAGTGGGAGGAAGGAAATGATAGCTACAAAAGACAAAGATATCTTCATGACATGTGTAGTACACAATAAACCAGCTGATAAAAAGGTAAATATCTCTGCTGCCTTAAACTAAAGGGAAATATCTCTGATGTCTGAAAACAAAAAGTAAATTTCTGTGTCATCTAGAAACAAAAGGTAAGAATTCTTGTATGATTTTAATATCTACAAATAATTGAATGTGATTTGTCATTTTTTTCACATAATAGACCATGTTGCAGAATGGCTTTTGAAAGCCTATGTAAACACCACATATATGTTGTGAAAACAGGACTGATGACTCACAAACTTTACTTAAAAGTCCTTCAGACATTTACATGTATTTAGTTTGTGAGTTTAACAACTCCAGTTTACACATCAATAACTGCTAAACTCATATGTGTAATTCTATACTACATGTACTAATCTCTGCCATCTAAAAAGCAAAAATGAAAAAAGGGAAATATGTATGCCATCTAAAGACAAATGTAAATATCATTGACATTTTAATACAACCCAAAAAGTATTTACTTCTGCCGTCCAAAAGCAAAATGTGAATATGACTGACATCGAAAAAAGGGTATACATGTATTTGTAAAATTTAAAAAAAAACACTGCTGTTAAAAAAAATGTACATATCTCTTCCATCTAAAAGCAAACAAAAAAGGTATATTTCTCTACTGTCTAAAATAAAATATCTATGCCATGTAAAAACAAAGATAAACAAAAAAGTAAAAAAAAAAGGTTCTCACAAAGGATAATCAACATCATACCCTGCAATCATGGTAAAAAAAAATATGAAAAGTTGGGCAAAGTGTTACAGGCACAAGAAAGACTGATGTATTCAAATGTAATAACTCTCTTGTAATTATTTACCTTGTAGGTTGAATGGAGAGCTATAGCTCCAGACAATACAAATATTGAAATCTCAGAAGATCAAGATTCAAAAGATGCATATAGATATCAGATTGATCAACCTTCCGCTATTTCATGGAGGATCAAAATCCAGAACATACAGATTGCTGATGAAATGAGATATATATGCCAAGTAGAAATTGGTCACCAAAAATATGCAACGGAGGAAAGATATATTAGAGTTACAGGTATAGTGTTCTGAAATATGCAATATTTCTATAATTCTGTCTGTCTATACCAGGGTTGGCAAAAACCTAGGTTTTATGAGTATTGCCCAGCCCAGTGGGAAATACTTAAAAATACTGGGTTTTACAGAGTAATACTGGGCAATATGAAATACTGACCTGAACTTTAAAGAGGATTCAATAATTAATCATTAATGCAATACATTAAAGATATTTACAAAAACAAAACATAGTATTTTAATTTATAGCATGTATAGGTTCACTTGTTTGAGACTCTTATTATAGAGTGTATAAATCTGAGAATGTATTGTTCTAGCAACTCTAAGAGAAGTGTAAATGAAGACACATTAGACAAATGTGAAAAGCTTTTCTCAATAACAATCTTAAAATTCGACATTCTGTCTAGATTGGTCAAAATGTTTGTATAAAGCCAAAAAAATCAATTTTGATTTTTTTATACGACCAGTTGTATAATGTTATGACATTTTCAGCGTCGTCGTTGTCCTAAGACATTTGGTTTCCAAACAATAACTTTAGTATAAATGTATGGATCTCTATGAAATTGTAGGACAAGGTTCAATACCAGAAAAGGAAGGTTGAAATTGATTTTGGCGGTTATTGGGGTACAAAAACAAGCATTTTTCTTTTTTAAGACAATAACTTGTGTATAAGTGTATGGATCTCTATGAAAATTAATCACAAGGTTCCATACCTCAAAAGGAAGGTTAGGATTGCTTCTATGGGTCATGGCCCAAACCGATTAGGAAATAGGGGCAAAAATAATAGGATTTTCTGGTTTCTGGAAAATAACTTGAGTATAAATAAAAAAATAAGAAGCTGTGGTATGATTGCCAATGAGACAACTATCCACAAGAGACCAAATGACACAGACATTAACAACTGAAGGTCACCGTACAGCCTTTAACAATGAGTAAAACCCATACTGTATAGTCAGCTATAAAAGGCCCCAAAATGACATATGTAAAAACAATTCAAATGAGAAAACTAACGGCCTGATTTATGTACAAAATAATGAACGAAAAACAAATATGATATACAGCAACAAATGAAAACAACTGAATTACAGGCTTATTACTTTGACCTATAATTGTTTACTTTACACATTGTGACTTGGATTGAGAGTTGTCTCATTGGCACTCATACCACATCTTCTTATTTCTTATTATAAGTCTATGGATCTCTATTAATACTAAAGTATAAATTGCTTATTTCTTGACCAATTTCAATGGGGTTTAAGTTAAAGTCTGGAATTCATGGGGTTCTTTAATATGCTGAATCGAACCATGTATTTAGATTTTGGATTTTGGGCCCCATTTTTAAATTGGTCCACATTGAGGTCCAAAGGGTCCAAATTTGTTTGATTTCAACCAAAATTAAATTCTCATGGTTCTTTGAGATGCTGAATCTGTATATTTAACTTTTTGATTGTGGGTATGGTTTTCAAATTGTCTCACATTATTTTAGGTCCTAAGTGTCCAAAATTAAGCTTGGTTTGATTTTAACAAAAAATGAGTTCTTGGGGTTCTATGATATGCTGAATCTAACCATGTATTTAGATTTTTGATTTTGGGTCCGGTTTTCAAATTGGTCCACATTAAGGTCCAAAGTGTCCAAAATTAAACTTAGTCTTGATTTTTTAACAAAAATTGAATTCTTGGGTTTCTGTGATATGCTGAATCTAACCACGTATTCAGATTTTGGATTTTGGGATCCTTTATCAAATTGGTCCACATTGAGGTCCAAAGGGTCCAAAATTAAACTTTGTTTGATTTCATAAAAAATTGAATTCTTGGGGTTCTTTGATATGCTGAATCTCACCATGTATTTAGATTTTGAATATTGGACCATAAAAGGTATATGTCCAATTTCAAATTTTCATGTTCTTAGACCACATTCATTCTGTGTCAGAAACCTATGATACATTTATATGTCAAATATTTTATCACAATCCAAATTCAGAATTATTTTGCATAATTAATAGAAATTGAAAGTAGATTCATAGTTAAAAATATATTCAGCATCATATTCTAATTTTAGAAATTATGTATGTATATAGGTTGAAATTAACTTTTCATTATTAGATTTTTTTAAAAATAAAGGTAATTTAAGTTTTATAGATTTTTAAAGACATTGTATTAATGATGAATGATATTTTGGAAATTGTATTTTTCATTTTTTTGGTAAATTTTTTGACGAACTTCGTGGTAGGTTTGTTTTTTATTCTGTATTAATTAATTTGCAGAATGTTATATACAGTTAACTCTCATTGTCTCCGACTCGGTTGACTCGAAATTGTGGATGAGTCGAAGTCTTCCCATTGTCCCAATTTTGTTCTATATAAATATATGCATTTCAACTCCTGAATTGTGATGAGTCGAAATTTTGATTGACTTGAACCAAATTTACTATCCCAAGGTTAACAAAAGCATTCAAATTGCATTTTTTATCTCAAACTAATACATATATGTCAAAATATGACCTCAGGGATTAAAATGGATTGAAGAGTTAACCTGACAATACACTGTTATTAAATTTTCAGTCACTGACCGCTGTATTGATTTATAACATTCTTTTTCCATAAGTGTTTACCTAAGATTTTCTTTGATCAACATTGTACATAATTAGTGATGCATTGTTATAGTTTATGAAAATTATTTAAAATATTTGAAAAACAGACCGTAATCATACATTTATGAGCATGGTTGGGCATAAAGTGGAGACTAAGATTTATTGATCAACTCAAAACTACTCAATCCGAGTCTTTAATCTTTTTGTACTTTATCTTGCAGAAAAAGATTGAAATAAAAGAAATCTAAATTTTACTAAAATCTCTTGTTTACAAGAATGAATAATTTTGTCAACTTTGAATCACACTAAGATATTGGACCATAATAGGCAAAAGTCCAATTTCAAATTTTTCAGCTCTTTGGCCACATTCATTCTGTGTTTCAGAAACCTATGCTGTGTCAAATATTTAATCACAATCCAAATTTAGAGCTGTATCAAGCTCGAATGTAGTGTCCATACTTGTCCCAATTGTTCAGGGTTTGACCTCTGCGGTCGTATCAAGCTGGTCCCAGCAAAGCAATTTTTATTTAGATATTTATAACTATTATATAAGAATTAACAATTATATGTAAGGAAAATTACTTTTAAACAATTTTTGTCCATTGCTAAAATCGCTTTCTAAGCAGTATATATATAATATGTACATCACTAATTAATAAGTAATTATTCAGATTATAAAACAGATTTGTTCATATAACAATATCAACCTTTTCATTTCTATAAATGTTCATAACATGTCCCATAGGGTGATTATTTAGCAATATGATTGTATAACAATTAAAATTTACAATTCACTTAAACACTGTAATGAAATGTATGTTTTGAAAAGTTTGGATTATTGAAACAAAGCTTTGAAATTAACAAGGTATCCTAAAATGTGCAAAACTTGTATTCTGCCTACATAGAATTATTGGAGAAAAGGAAGAAATTGAATTTTCAATCCTCTAGAAATGACTCTCAATGGTTATCTGTATAAAATGTATATATTTAGCTATAATACTATGAAACTACAGCAAGTCTTTACCATTCTGTGTAAAAATAAGCTAAAAAAAATCTTATTGCCCAGTTTTACCCATTTCTGGAAGTTTTTTCCTAGCACGGGAAAGCTTGGGGTTTTCCCACCCGGTTTTCCTGACCAGGTAATACTTTGCCAACCCTGGTCTATACATGTACTATTTTAAGCTCACTTGTCTTAATTGTAAACTTTTTTAAAATCTTCTCCTTTGAAACTACTGGACCAAACTTTACCAGAATGTTCCTAAGGTTATCCAGTTAAATAATTGTATCCAGGGATTTGATGCATCATCAAAAATGGCTGTTGTTGCTGAAAAATAGAACATAGGGGTTAAAATGCCTGTTTTGGCTTATATGTTTTAACCTAAAGTAGTTATAGCAAAACTAACTGGATAAAAGGATAAACAGGTCACTGGTCAGGGTCCATCTCCCATGGAATTTTCAGAAAAATCAGACAATCCATTTTGGATTTATTGCCCATGAAAAGTCAATTTTTAGCAAATTTCATTTTTTGGCTTATATCCCCAAAACTTAAACAGCAAAACTGACAACGGGTTTAATTTCAATTCAAAACAGAGCTTTTTGCTGTCATCTGGAATACAAACTTTTCTGTTGATATTATCATTATCTTTTACTATAAATACTGATGAAACCTAATTTTAAATCTATTAGAGAAGTCATACTGCACCGTTTTACCTTTCACTGATAGACATATCTTTAGATCCATAATTAACTTTCTTGATTAATGATGCAAAAAATAAGATATGTTATATAATTCTTTGTTTCTGTTATTCATTGGCCTTTTATATTATCATAAGAAATCATATAACCTCATCTTTCTGTTTTCTACTTGCAGAAAAACCTCAGATTATGGACTTGCTGACCAGCAGTAACCAGCTGGTAGAAGAAGGAGATCGAGTCCAGCTTACCTGTAACTGTACAGGATGGCCAAGGCCAAATGTTAAATGGTCAAAAGTTGCTGGTGGGTTGCTGCCAAGTGGAGGACAAGAGTATGCTGTAAGGCATTATCATGTTAACATGCTCTGATATTTGCAGTTTGATTGCATAATTAAATGCATATATAAATAGAATAAGGAAGTTCTCATTTGTTGGTTTTCTAAGCACAAAAGCTTGTTGTAGGAAGAAAGTTAAAAGGTCAACTAATTACAGATGATCATTTTGTATAAAGGCATGCATTTCCATAAGTGCTTACATGTATGTGTAAAGTGGATACAAGGCTTAGACATATATATACTACTAGTTTTGTATGGCTACCACCTCAAAGAAGATAGGATCAAGCCACTTTTTTTCATCCCTTGAATTTTAATTAGCTAATCTCACTAGACATAATCATGATTCGTCTGTCAGATGTTAGTATTTTATTTATTGTTGTAGTTAAAATAGTCTGCAAAAAGATCGCTATCTTTTATTTTTCTTAATCATATGAATTATTCTGCATATTCAGTTCGTTCTATCAAAAGAAATATTTAAAAAACAAGGATTTGCCTGCACAATATAACCATTTTGAACCCCTGTTTGGGACTTGTATTTGATGAATTACTGCTATAAAAGAGAGGCAAAAGATACCAAAGGGATATTTATACTCATAAATTGAAAACAAACTGACAATGCCATGGCAAAAAACGAAAACCGATGAAAAGACAAATGACAGTACACAAAACACAACAGAGAAATCTAAAGACTGAGCAACACACACACCACCAAAAACCAAGAGTAAGGTACCAAGGGTAAGCAGATCCTGCTATACATGTTGCACCCGTCTTGCTATAACTGTCAAAATGGCCGCATTTTGAAATCTTGTCATTTATATTGAGTTATGAGCCAAATACTTACGTAGAAAGGTAATTTGGTACAATGTGTCTCATATAAATCTGTTAATCTGGCTACAATATCTTTTTCTATAAGATTGTGAATCATGTTTTGTTTTGCCAAAAACTATCTGAAAATTTGCCATTATAGGTCTAATATGTCAATGTCTACATGTTTATGACATCAAGACGTAACATTTCTGCACTGAAGTGTCCAAATTATATCGTCCTATTTATTTATTAATAGAAAATGGTTGAAAGGATTGAAGAATTTTACTATTTTTGCAATTTCAGGGCCTAGATAATGGTGTTTAACAAACCCTCCTCTTTGTCAGAAATTTTAATCTACTTTTCTTGCAACATGGTCAGCAAAGCTGTAGGAATTAATTTCCATTTCTGTATGTTGAATTTTAGTACTGCATTGAGTATATTGGACTGTTACTCTGATAGCTTGAAGAAGTTATATTTTGTATTTCATCATTTAAGAAATGAATTTATTTGCAGGGCTACACATTAAATATTGGTACTTCTCGACCAGACCACAGAGGTTACTACAAATGTACCTGTCAGAACATGGTTGGGAAAGACAATAGGATTGTATACTTGGGGATTGTATGTAAGTAAACAATGAATTAAATAAAATCTGTGGAAACCTCATTGTAAATATACACTTGTATGTATTTAGCTTCAGAATGGTAGTTGTATCATGAATTAATTCTGTGGCATGAAAATGATAGATATTCCATACATTACCAGTATATTAGGAAACTTCATCACTGTGTTTGGAAAACTGAAGTTATAAAAAGTGGAATATACTAACAAAAATATCTAGTCTAGGAAAAAATACAGAATTTTCTGTGTCAAATGGTTGACTTGAAATAGTAGAAAAATGTTATACATTAGACAACTTATTGTTAACTTTTCAGCTAGGTAGACATAATTACAAATAGATTAAACATTTTGAATTAAGAGAAAAACTTAAGTATTTTTATCTTTACTTAATACAGATTATTTAAATATAGATTATAAGTCAAAGAGAACCAATTTATTGGACATAAATACGATGGCATATCACAGGAAACATGTAATGTAAAATTTCCATTGACAACACACTACTTTATATTTATAGTCAAACCAACAATTCAGGTTGGACAAATGGAACCAGCTCAAGCCTATGGGTACCAGAAAACATTGGAATGTGTTATAGAAGCTTATCCAGTGCCATCAGAAGATCAGATCACATGGACTCATGAAAATATCCCGGTTTCATCCAGGTAAATGGGAAACAATATTCTGCTCAGTTGGTGTGGTTAACAGACATCTTTTACACCTAAGTGTTTAAATTTACAACCAAACTGCTCTAAATATAAATATAAGAAGATGTGGTATGATTGCCAATAGGTCACTGTAAAGCCTTCAACAATGAGCAATACCCATACCGCATAGATGGCTTTTAATTATCCTGACTTATTATTATACAAAAAATTTAGAATTATCAAAAATACATAGTTTTAAGGAGCACAACGAGTATAATATAAGTAAGAAGTAAATTTTAATGTAAAGTTATAAGGCAAATTACACTGTTCTTAATATTTAAGTTATTTTGTTATATTTTTCAGTGCTAAAATAAAGTACATAGAAGGAGCCATGAATAGAGTCACCACCAAACTAACAATAAAAGGTGTAGATCCAAATGCACTTGGTCTTTACACATGTCAAGCCAGAAACAATAAGGGATCAACACAGGCAAATATAAATTTGAAATGTAAGTAACCATGGCAACTGACCTTCAATTTTATATATCTTGCCAAATTTTAAAAAAGTTCAGAACAAAGAGCAGAGAGTTTTTTGCATCATGGTGCTTCAAATGTTTGGAAATAACATGCAAATGATGTGCTTCTTGTTTATTGGAGAAGTTTTATTTTTCAGATAGATCACCACTTTATTCAGTAGAATGAGTAAATCTTTGCCATCACTTGGCATCCATTGCTGTCAAACTAGGGTGTGAACTTTTTTTATAATCTCTACTAAAACTACTTGACCAATTTCAACTTAACTTGGACTGAATGATCCTTGGGGAATGTAGTATAACGTTTGTGGTTTTTTTTCCTGCCAGTCAACCAACATGGCTGCCATGGCATAAAATAGAACAAAAGGGTAGAATTTATTAATCATCTTGAATCCAATATAGGTAGAAAAAATCCTATAAAGGCAAAAAAGTTCAGTGAAGATAAATCTTTTTCCCATTTCAGCACAAAATATTCAGGTTACTTCTTATGGTAGTTGTCCTTACAAATGAGGATCCCTGTGTTGCCTATGATCTCGAAATCTATTATAGATAGGTAAAAATTATAATCATCAAAAGCGTTCAGCAATACCTGATCTACAAAAATTCCAATACAAGGGAAACCATTGGATGACAACTTATTGGAGTTAATTGCCTTTAAATGATGACTATTTTTACTAATTTAGAGTATTTGCTTATTTATCTTGAAAACTTTAATACATAGGTATAAAACTATAAACAACAATAAGGTGGCCGAGTGGTCTAAGTACTGTATCACTAGCTTGTCAAAACTGAGGTTGTGAGTTCCAATCCTGCATGGTGTGCTTGACTCCAATCTTTATTGACTAGGTTTGTCAGTTTTCCAACTGAAAGTCCTGGTTCTTTGGCTTCCTCCAACAATAAAAATTGAATGAAGCGATTGGATAATAAGCACCTTAAAGGACTAATTCTTGTAATGATGGTTTATGACTAATTGTCCTGTGATGATGGTTTATGACTAATTGTCCTGTAATGATGGTTTATGACTAATTGTCCTGTAATGGTGGTTTATGACTAATTGTCCTGTAATTATGGTTTATGACTAATTGTCCTGTAATGATGGTTTATGACTAATTGTCCTGTGATGATGGTTTTTTTGTCTCGCCTTGACGGAGTCAAAAATCAAAACATAGGTATGCTGTTTCCGGCGGCGGCGGCGTCAACAATGTATTAGTTTGTGATTAGGTCTAGTTCATGGTGAACCACTAGTGGTAGGTCAATGACATTTGGTATGCAGTTGTATTAGCATTGGCACATCTCATTACCATGGAGATTATTTGGCCCCGCCCCCTCAGTCAAGGTCTATTGACTTTGAAACTTTTCATAGTTTACATGTATTAGTTTGTGATTAGGTCATTTTATGGGGAACCACTAGTGGTAGGTCAATGATATTTGGTATGTAGTTGTATAAGCATTGGCATATCTTATTTCCATGGAGATTATTTGTCTCCGTCCCCTTAGTCATGGTCTATAGACTTTGAAAATTTTGCTAAGTTAACATGTATAAGTTTGTGATTAGGTCAGTTCAAGGGGAACCATTAGTGGTAGGCCAATGTTAATTGGTGTTCAGTTGTATAAGCATTGGCACATCTCATTTCCATGGAGAATATTTGGCCCGCCCCCTCAGTCATGGTCTATTTACTTTGAAACTTTTGCATAGTTTACATGTATTAGTTTGTGATTAGATCAGTTTAAGATGAACTGCTAATGTTAAGTCAATGATATTTAACATTTGCATTATCAAAATTACAAAAAAGGCGAGACATATCTCAGTGATAATAGTTTATGTCCAATTGTCCTGTGATGATGGTTTATGACTAGTTGTCCTGTAATGATGGTTTATGACTAATTGTCCTGTAATGATGGTTTATGACTAATTGTCCTGTGATGATGGTTTATGACTAATTGTCCTGTGATGATGGTTTATGACTTATTGTCCTGTGATGATGGTTTATGACTAATTGTCCTGTGATGATGGTTTATGACTAATTGTCCTGTAATGATGGTTTATGACTAATTTTCAAGTTTTTACCAATTATCTGTAAAAATATAATAGATAGGTTGAATCTTGTAGCAACATAAATAATCATCAATACCAGACATATTTTAGCTAGGTTACAGTTTCAAACTCTTAGGAGCCTTTTGTGTCTGAATTTTGTCACTATAGGTCTTTTTTCTTGTTATTTTGGGGACTCATGGTTGCAAAAAAAAACAGTTTATTTAAGCTCTGTTTGTAGGATAATTTGGTTAATCGCCTAACACCTTTTAGTTTAAGCTTTGAATAGGAAACTTCTGTGTTACTTTTTTGTGAATAAGGATTTAGAGTCAATTTTACTGCAATTAAGATATGAAAATAAGTTTAATGCTACAGCAAATGAAATGTAAATTTTATGTTCCTAAATTTTTTCAACAATATTATACGGTAAATAATCTCCCCCAGGCCAGCATAATATAATACACTCCAGCCCAGGCCAGCCTCTTCAAATATATTTTATAGATGTCCTTCTAAATGAATTTGATGCTTTTCGAAGTTGCTAGTAACAACATACTAAGGTCATTATGTATATCCTTATACAGTATTATAATTATGAAAATGCTTTCACCTTTATACATATGAAAATATTTATAAAACAAGCAGGTATGATTTTGTGTTGCATATAATAGACAGTATGACTAGATGGTACAGGTTTGGCCAAAGACAGTCTGACTAGACTGTACAAGTGTGGCCTAAGACAGTCTGACTAGACTGTACAAGTGTGGCCAAAGACAGTCTGACTAGATTTTACAAGTGTGGCCAAAGACAGTCGGACTATACTGTACAAGTGCGGTCAAAAACAGTCTGACTAGACTGCACAGGTGTGGCCAAAGACAGTCTGATTAGACTCCAAGTTAGTGTGGCCAAAGACAGTCTGCCTAGACTGTACAAGTGTGGCCAAAGACAGTCTGACTAGACTGTACAAGTGTGGCCAAAGACAGTCTGACTAGATTTTACAAGTGTGGCCAAAGACAGTCTGACTAGACTGTACAAGTGCGGTCAAAAACAGTCTGACTAGACTGCACAGGTGTGGCCAAAGACAGTCTGATTAGACTCCAAGTTAGTGTGGCCAAAGACAGTCTGCCTAGACTGTACAAGTGTGGCCAAAGACAGTCTGACTAGACAGTACAAGTGTGGCTAATGACAGACTGGCTAGACTGTACAAGGGTGGCCAAAGACAGTCTGACTAGACTTTACAAGTGTGGCCAAAGACAGTCTGACTAGACTGTACAAGTGTGGTCAAAAACAGTCTGACTAGACTGTACAGGTGTGGCCAAAGACAGTCTTACTAGACTACAAGTGTGGCCAAAGACAGTCTGACTAGACTGTACAAGTGTGGCCAAAGACAGTCTGACTAGACTGTACAAGTGTGGCCAAGAAGATACTGCCAATCTGAATAAAGATGGCAAAATTACTGCCATTAATTTCGGATAGTTAAAAAAAACATTTAGCCAGACTTAAAGATTCATCAAAATGTATTATAGTCAATTTTTTTTAAAGCATACTACATTGTTTGTGCATTGAAATTTTTTTAAGAACTTATAACATAAAAACAAAATAGCATTTTGACTCATTTGATATCAGACTTGACTTTATAAGGATAGTTTTGTTGTGTTTTACATAATAAATGATATATGTTGATAACAATTTTTACATAATGATGATTTTATTATTTGCAGATTCTAGCCAGCCAACACCAGATATAACTGGAGAAATAATAAGAAGTGGTGCCTCACTCATTTCTATAATTACTATAATCTAATAAATGTATAAGACATGTATCAATAGAGTATTTACCTCTTCAAACCTGATTGACTCTGAATTCAAATAACAATTTGTTCTTTCTTAAAAACCCTGATAATTGGTTATAAACACTCCTTTCAAGAACTTTCGATACAATGCTAAAGCTACTGACAGGTCTATAATTACCAACATCAAGAGCACTATTCTTTTTAAATAAAGGTTTTACTCTTGCATATTTCATACTATTTGGTACAACGCCAGTCAAAATTGATTGATTTATAATTGCTGTGATTAGCTTCTGTAATATACCAGCAATATATATAATATTGATCAACAATATACATTAAATAAGCTTATTTTTGGTAAGACTGCAGAATTAGCATTATACAGACTGAAGAATTCAAGCAATTTCAACGGAAAGGAATTAAATTCGTCAAAGAAAGAACTGATAAATATACACGCAAGAGGAAACAAATGAAGAGTATTGAGTTCGGAACCGTTTTACTATCTCCCAAGCTAAATTTGCTCCCAAGACTAGAAACAAAAAATGAACGAACTACTCTGTACTCTTTGATATGAACGAAAGAAAGTGGCGAAGCTATACATTTACTTCACGCACGTTGCCACATCGTCCAACAAAAAAAAAAACAACAAAAAAACATTAATCTTTAATAAAAAGAGAAATGTTTTTATTTCAATTTTTATAACTATCTAACTCTGTCTATTAGTTGTTCCTTTTTTTTAAATTTTCGTTTTCAACGCTCTTGAACTTTGTAACATTGATTTGGCCGTCAACTCTTTGATTCCGCGAGGACCATGCACCGATGAGCATGTGAAGACGAATCGTGCGTCAGGCTAACTAGAATATAAGCTTGTATTTTTGAATTTTTCATAATTGTTAAATTTTTTTGTATTTATTGGATTTTTATTGCTTAGCGTGCGATATGGATGGATGTTGCTCGTCATTTACCAATGGCACACTGCAAAAAACAGTTTTCATCAAAGTTCTTAATCATAATATGGAGGTAGCTGTCTTTTTACCAAGCATACCAATCGCTTTATGCTATATTTGACAAAAATTAAGTATAAAGAAATTGACAAAAATTAAGTATAAAGAAAATAAAAGGCAAAGGATTTACGATATTCGATTAGGAACTTGACTTCATTAAACTTCGATTAAATCGAATGTCGGGTGTCGCTGCCTATACGAGACTTGAGACAGGATAAGCAAATAAGTTTTCCGTTCGGCTATTCTAGCATTAGTATCATTGATGGTTTTAGAGGTTTTTTTTCTTCTTATTGTGCATTTGATATTGAATCTATTTCGGTTATATACTCTTACAACTATGTAAAACTTCCTTTACGTTTCTTCTCTAGGGTTTCATTTTAACCGAATAAACACTCTATAGTGTGAAGATTAGTGGTGAAGTATATGTATCTATATGTTTGCTATGCTTGACTTAATATCTAATAATTTTTCAGAAATCTTTGTTCGGAAAAAAAATGTTGTTCTTGAAAATATACTTATCTGGCGTTATCCTAAGTGTCGGGAAAAGAACCGAGCGAAGGATGTTGCGTCATTTATCTCAGACTCCCTTTACAAATTGGGCAGGGCCGGTCGTTTTTTACCCAGTTCCGGCCTATCACTTTAAGTATTGCGCATACACTTCCTTTTGGGGCTTGTTACGCCACTGTAAAACATTAGTTGCGCATTTGTATACACTGTTCAGGACTGATTCACCAATGTCTGTCTTGATATAGCTGTCATTTCAAATATTTAAGCACATATAAATTTATAAAACTCACACAATATTAATTCTTTGTTATATCAAATTTCGTTCTTTCTCCCTTTCCCATTCATACTGAGATGACTAATAACGTTACCGAAGGTAGCACGGTTAAAACAATAAAATTTAAAATTCTCCTCTTTGAAATACATAACTTGTCCCATTATAACAAGTACCAGCTATTAAGTAATTTGCTTCAGATTTATGATCGTAATTTAGATACAAACAGACTGATTGATCCTTAGGACCAGCATTGTATATTCCGTCCAGATCAACCTAAGATGAGGGTAGTTTTCACTGGTCTGCTTCTTTTTGTCTGTATGGCAGGTAAGTTCATGATTCTACATTTAATTCTTTTTATTTATCAGTATCTCTTTCGAGTTTTCATATCTTTTTTATCTAGTGGGGTAAGAGTTGCTGAATCGGAATCGGAAATTTTCGGTTTTTAATGTTTTAGTTATATTTCAGTATCTGTGTGGTATTGTCTTTTCTCGTTGTTTTTTAAATTTAAAATTGTTTAGACCGACGTCTGTTCCTGAATAATGTTTTTATGATAATAATGATACACGCCCGATCGCGTCTTATTTATTTTTGCGCCAATGGCATTTCATTTTCGCCAAAAAAAATCTTTCTTTTGCTCCACAAACCATATTTCATCTGCGCCAGAATAAAACATTTCATTAACGCGAATAATACAGTTAAATAGTATATATACTTTAGTAATAGATGTTTATTATTCATAATTCACCGCATTATGGGGAACTTGTCTATTTTTCGGTAAGCAGGATAATATTTGATGGTCTTTCAGAAATGTCACCATATGTTTTTCGAACTCTGATTCTCAATTCCTGTGATTGGTGAGATTTGACTGTCTGATGGTCTTGTGGTTGTGTTCATTCAGTGTCTTTATTATGGTTTTGCTGTCAACATTGGTTGGGATTCTGTGTGGTCATAAAAATGGACTCACTTAATTAACCAAGGGGTTCTTTTTAGAGCATCGTATTGAGGATAAAATGTATATATTTTAAACTTTTCCGTCATATGCTACTTGTAAATACGGGTGCCACAGGCGGCGCAGGATCTGCCTACCCTTCCAGAACACCTGAAATCAACCCCAGTTTTTGTAAGGGGTTCGTGTTGCTCAGTCTTTAGTTTTCTATGTTGTATTTTGTGTACTGTTATTTGTATGTTTGTCTTTTCTTTTTTAGCCATGATGTTGTCAGTTTATTTTCGACTTATGCGTTTGAATGTCCCTTTGGTATCTTTCGCCTCTCTTTTGTACAGCAGTGCAAAAGCAGTAGTCATGTTTTGGCGTGATTGAAATATAACCTTGTGGTGCAAATGAGATACTGTATTTTTTTTTTAATTGACGCAAATGCCATGCGCTCTCGATCGCTCTGAAAATTCAACACAGTGACCTCTAGCACAACAGTTTAGTTGTGGTGATTTTGAGAAGCCTGGTCTAACCTGACTCCAAACAGAACGCTTAATATTCCTTGTAGCCCTGTATCCACAGAACGCTTACCATTTTACCATTCCTTGTAGCCCTTTATCCACAGAACGCTTACCACTCCTTGTAGCCCTTTATCCACAGAACGCTTACCACTACTTGTAGCCCTTTAACCACAGAGCGCTTACCATTCCTTGTAGCCCTTTATCCAAAGAACGCTTATCATTCCTTGTAGCCCTTTATCCACAGAACGCTTCTTATCGTTGTAAGGAATTTTAATGTGGAATAATACAAATGAAGACATTTCAGCGCAATCATGGCGAGTCTTTACAATTAACAAAATAAAAAAAAAACGATCATAATAAAAATAGCTTGATTTCATGTTTAAACTATGATTTGACATGCTGTAAGAGAACAACGAATAAAATGCCTCTGAATTTTCAAGAAGGAAACTATAAAAATAAGAAGATGTGGTATGATTGCCAATGAGACAACTCTTCACAAGAGACCACATGACACAGAAATTAACAACTATAGGTCACCGTACGACCTTCAACAATGAGTAAAACCCAAACCGCATAGTCAGCATAAAAGGCCCGAAATGACAAATGTAAAACAATTCAAACGAGAAAACCAACGGCCTGATTTATGTACAAAATAATGAACGAAAAACAAATATAATATACAGCAACAAACGAGAAGCATTGAATTACAGGCTCCTGACTTGGGACAGGCACATGCAGAATGTGGCGGGGTTAAATAAGTTAACCTGGGACTAGTATATTCAAAAACATTTATATTATCTTATTCAATTTATCTTATTAAATTGCTGACTCAGTGATATACATGTATTGCTAATCGTATTCTTTGATTTGTTAATAACAATGTGTTTTACCATCTTTCCATATACACAAATTTTAAAAATGTCCGCAGTTTTTATATTTGGTGGTACATTTTCATCCCAGTGCCGTTAACAAAAGGCAATTTTTGGAAATCTTGGTATTTTGTCATTGTTGAGGGCCGTAAGGTGACATATAGTTGTTTAAATCCACTTCATTTAAACTCTGTTGGATATATGTCTCATTGGCAATCATACTACATGTACATCTCCTTAATTTGTATTGTTTTGACGGCTGACAGATTTCTGAAAAGTAAAATAAATAATATGATCCTTTAACCGATATTTAGTATTACATTCTGTTACAGCAACTAGAATATAACTTATGTTAACCCCATATTATTATTTATACACAGCTACTTATGCACGTGTACTTTGTAAGGGCTATACCTTTAAAGTACCAAAACTGTACCCGAATAATGTACTGATGCAGTACTTCGTAACTATTGTATTGTTTTAGTATCATAATTTTACAGTACTAGATTTGTACTAAAATTTAAAGAACAAATTTTTACCTCCAAATTTTAGTACTATGATTGTATGTAATACATATATAGTACCTCTTCTTTACAATAGTTTCATAGGAAATTTTACTGAAAGAGTGATAATTTAAAAGTACTGGACTGGTACAAAAATGTTCAACTTGATGCACATATTCAATACTGTGACGTCATGGTGCTGAAAAAGTACAATAATTTTTAAGTACTGTAAACGTACTATATTATATATTAAGTACATTTTCAGTACTTCAAATTCATAGTATTACAAAAGTACATATACAGAAGTAGCCGTGTAGTGGATGCAATATACTGCGTACTTAGAAATTTACAGGAAAATTGCATAGTTACAAGATTTGCACTATACGTAACTAAATCATAAAATATTGATGTATTTGACAAGTTTTAGTAACGTACTGTGAACAAGTAATAAATAATTAATTATTATACTAAAACGTAAGTTTGTTTATCACTTTTGTCAAATTTTGAGTGTTAAACGACTCTGTTAGTTGACAAATTAAGACGGTTGAACATTTTTACAACTCTCTCAAAGACTATAAGGGTCATTATGATTAGTGGTATGTACAGTACAATTAACTTTCATTGATCTCAGATATCCATTTTCTGCTTTCGTGAATGGTACAAGGGCCCTTGACTAAAATAAAGTGTTGATAACGTTTAAAAGTCACTCCCCACCCCGTAAACTTGTAACGTATATTCTGATAGGTATATAAGCATTCAATAAACAATATGAAGATAATAATTAAATCATCACTAAGTAACTGAACATAAACAAAGCTGAAAGTGATAACATTATCTAGCAATAAAGTTTGAATCTATAAAATCAAAATTCATACGGCAACGATAATTGAATATTAAGTGATCCATCTTAGACAAACATATTTAAACCACATTCTTTATGTGTATGTCCCAAGTTATGAGCCTGTAGTTTCAATAAATTTCTTTGGTTCATGTCTGCCATATTTGTTTTTCATGAATTGTTTTGTTATAAATTATCCCGGTTTTCTCGTTTGAAATGTTTCACATTTTTCATGTCGTGGCCTTTTACAGCCGACTATACGGTATGGGCGTTGTTAATTGTGGAAGCCGTACAGTGAACTGTAGTTACTTGTATACACATACACGTCCTTTGTTGGATAGTTGTCTGATTGGAAATCATACCTGCACATCTCCTTATTCTTATAAAAATTTGAAACGGAAAAAAGAAACAAAAAGATTTAAAAAAGCTGATATTCTCGGTAGATAATATCACCAAATCAAATCAAATCAAACTTTTATTGCCATATTAACCAACTTATACGATTTGTGACTACATCTAGGAATACTCGCAGCTACTGAAAGAAAAACAGATTAGCCAGAATTGAAATCATGTATTCTTACAATCTAAAAAAAGTATTAGTCACTATACTTCGAAGTAGATTTTAATAAAGAGCAATGCCATAGACAATAAAGAAAAAAATGAACTTTTGAAATTTCAAAGTGACATTTCATACACAGAAATAATAAATGTAAAGTATAAAGAAAACGAGATCCGCCAAGTTTTCTCATGTTTCTCGGCGAGAAAAAATTGTTTTATGATTGATTAAGTGATAAGAGAAAAACAAAAAAAACTTTTTTGGTAATATTTTCAAACTGTAAATAAATGAATCGATATTGATGATAAATAAAATAAAATTGAATCATTAAAAAAGGATGATGACGCAATAATTTTTTTACCACTAACGGTATAACTATAACATTGAAAATTTCTATTCTCTATACTATTATAAATAATTGTCATAAAAGTTGTGTGCAAAATGCCATTGCTTTTAAATTTTTCAAAGGAGAACTGTTATTCCACACTTAATCCCTAGCTTTGTCATGAATAACATTTAGATCAAAGTCTTGACCAATTTTACGAATGATATTTGTACCCTTATTACAAAAAATATTGAAAATATTTCGTTCATTGAAATATAGTCCGTCAATGCAACTCGTAGTGTATTCCTTAAAGAGTATCAAGAGGATCATCCCCTAAACAGGAAGGGAAGTAACAATACCGTGTTCACACATTTGGCTTGATTTTTAAAAACATCAACGTCCAAGAACTGACAATAACATTAATGTTGGACGCATAAAACATATGTTCATATACATACGCTGCATTGCTATATTTAGAAACAAAAATGGATTATATAGGGTGGTCAGTCTTTTGTTGGTAGAGGAAGCCAGAGTACCCTTAAAGAATATCGACCTTTGGTAGGAAAACTGACAATCCTAGTCAAATAATATCTGTCGAACGCACCTGACACAGCGAGATCCAATCTCACAGCCCTCAATATTGCTAGGCTAGTGAATCCTTTGTAAATTTAGAAGCCAATAAATTATAGGAAATTTTGATGTTCAGTTACAGCTTCAGGTTAAGCATTTGTTGATTATAAAAAGACTGAAGACCATAAAAGAAAGAACGCTTAAAACGTATGATAAAATATCGAAACCCAAACGGACAAGACACGAACAAAATATATCAAAAAGTACCAGCAAATACAGACCTAGACCTATATAGAGGAATCGAATATTAACGAACAGAGAATTTGTGATGTTTCTATCCGTCTTGTAATAGTTTTTGAAGAAAAACTTTGCTGATGAAGAATAATGAAGAATAACTCTGCAAAATGAATTGCAGGGTATGCTTATCATTCCGGAGTGGTTGCGGTCGGTTCATGTCTATTATTTTTGTTTTCTATAAATTGTATTGATATAGATTTAGTCAGTTTCTCGTTTGAATTGTTTCACATTTTTCAAGTCGGAGCTTTTTACAGATGACTATACGGTATGGATTTTTCTCATTTTTGAAGGCCGTATACGGTGACCTACAGTGGCGGATCCAGAAAATTTCATAAGTGGGGGCCCACTGACTGCCTAAGTGGGGGCCCGCTCGGGTCATGCTTCAGTGATTCCCTATATAATCAACCAACTTTTTCCCAGAAAAGGGGGGCCCGGACACCCTGGGCCCCTCTAAATCCGCCTCTGAGTCCTATAATTGCTTACATCAACGTCAATTGTCTCTAGTGGATAGTTGTCTCATTGGCTCCTTATCCTTATATAATTAGAAATTGCAAAAAACTTTCGATGTTACAATTGTGAAGATTTATTTTCGGACAGAAAATGACTGTCACTGAGACGCACAGTCATTTGTCACTGGGACGCACAGTCATTTTTTCATTTGATTCAGATGGTGATACATATGAGCTAGGTTATATGCGTTATGAACAAAATAGTAGATTTAAAACATTTTAAATAACGGAGTAAACGAGGTGGAATTAATTTCTGTTTAACAAATATGACGGACGTGTCAATGATAAAACAATAATCATATCTTAGAAATCGAGACAAAAACCTCAACAACAATGCAGACAAAACAGCAAATCCCGTTGAAGAAGTCATTTGGTATCAATAAGCTTTTAGTTTTCAAAAACTTTTAACTTTTTCTTTCTTTTTTTATGCCCTATACAGCTATGCATTTTTCAGCGTATAATTGATAACATCGAAACATGCATGTTTAATTTGTTGTTTTGTTTCTATTCACAGGTTCCTCTGCACTAAATATTACTATGAACCAGAATATGCTTGGTCTTCTAGGTCCGTCCACGGTACAGTTGAACTGTTCGTATGATATCGATACTGATGATGTATTGTTCCTTATCAATTTTAAAGCGTTCATTCGAGGAACATTTAGAAACATAGTGTCCTTTTCACCACCAAACATTGGAGGAGCAGCACTAATTTTAACCGATGGGTTTTACTTGATAGGTAGAGTCACCCTGACAAATCCAACATTTGCATCGACCACTGCAATAATGACCTTTAACGAAGTTGATTGTGAGGATGAAAATGATTACCAATGTGAAATTAACTATCAAGATGGCACCACAGGAGAATCTCCGTCACCTTTACCGCTTGCTTCCACAAACCTAACTGTAAGAGGTTAGTATATATATATATATGTAGTGGTTTATAATCTGATTTAATATACAGATCCTGTATATCAATGCTTTCCTTACAGAGGAAAGTGTGGACAAAGAATCTGTATTTTAATCAGACTGAATTGTTTTAGAAACAAAATATGATGAAAACTGCGCTCTCAGTCTCAAATTAATCTTAAGAGCAATGGGGTATCATCATTAAGATGTTGAATAAATCATTAATTAAATTGAAAATCCAAATCCACTCATTTAAAACTGCACGGAAAAGTTCTGTTTAAACAGATAGAAGAATCTATGCGTAGACTATTAATAAAAAAAAAGAAGAAACATGTCTTACAAAGAAAAAGCTTAAGGAAAAAACAAATCAAGATGTCCGAATTATTAAAAATAAAACATACCATTGAATTTGTCTATATCTTGGCTTTCCGGGCATTTTCATCTTGAAATCAACACAAAATCATAAATCCGAGCTGAACACAGGCAAAGTTGAACTTTTGCTGAATTTAAAATCGCAAGCTATAGTATATTGACATTGAGACCATTGTCAAACAAAGACGAAAATGTCGTAATATCGAATTTGAATACACCGGTATAGTCTTGCACAATGAGCAAATGCGAGTGCATTGGGATAATATATAAGATAAACCTTTGCAATGAACAATACAAACCACATCATAATTCGACTTAAAAAAAGTATAACAATAAAAGACGTTGAGAGAATTTTTTTTTTTTGCACTTTAAGACATAACTGTGTAAATACCATGCTCCCGTTGTAACTTTGTAAGAGAAAAAAAAATTAATCAAACAGACGGACAAATAGAATAAACTCAACGAATATTTAAAAAAGACAAAATAATGATATTGACAATGTCGTTTAAAATCATACAAGTTCGGAAAGGAGCACATGATCATATTCATTATTGTATTTATCATGTTTGTAAAACTGGTTATATTTCAGCTGCTGCAGAAAAACCAGCAGAGGCCCCTTTGATTACAGGAGTCAATGGTAGCATTATTGAGGGTCAAAATGTGACCTTCACATGTTCAGGAAATGTTGGAAATCCTCCAGGAACATTTATTTGGGAGAAGTTCCGTATGATTGGTTTCTTCCCAACAACATATCCGGACGAACCGACCATAATCACACCTGGGCTGGTAAACTGTACAAACAATGGCACTAGTAGCGTTACCATAGCCATGGAAAGTGAGGATGATCGGTCCTTAGTTCGCTGTGTAATAAAACAAGAATTTGGAGATGTTTTTCAACAGACACCTATCATCAGTGTTCTCTGTAAGTTATACTTCATTCTCCACGTGTGTTTATACTTTACTTTGAATTACGAGTTGGGTTATGCTTAACACAACAACGCGTATGTTCTTGTTTTAATCTTTTTATTTGACATATATTTGCATATCAAATTTGATTGAACAAGAAAACACTTACTATAATTACATCAATTTGAAGAAATGATTTTAGATTATTTGTTACTGGCAAGATTACGGTCAATGTTTTCTTATTGCAAGTTAAACTTCTACAACATAAAAATCACAAAGATATCTAGGGGTCAACATATTGTCTTCAACATTAGACATGGTCTACTATATTCACCCTGGAAGTCTAGAATTGTCTGGGATAATTTTGATATAGACTATTAAAGATCTGTCACCAATACCAAATCCCTAATAGTCCGAGATTGCTATGGCTTTTTTACAGGCTGTTTTGGGGACTGGTTTGGACTTTATCACAAAGGATCCAGCAAGCCACCTCAAAACAGGCCTTCACATCAGAGAAAATCGGACAAATATCCTTAATGACAAGAATCATTAAGATATAACGTTGTAAGTTACTATGTCCTACTTTAGAGCGTTCATATTAAAAGGACAAATGGCCAGACTAAGCACTGACTTTTTTGAATTAAGATAGTTAGTTTTGTACTTTATTAGTTGATAAGTAAGCGTCTATATTTACAGACAGTGTACGTGAAACTGTAGTTACGCCTAATCCAGATCAGCCATCATACATTGAGGGATCAGATCCTATTACGCTAACATGTTGGGGTGCTGGGAATCCGATTCCTACATATACCTGGTACAAAGAAGCAAACGATACGATCCTGTCAAATACGTCAGCATATGTTATCAATGATGTCACTGTAGAAAATAGCGGCAACTACATTTGTGTGATTGAAAACATGGTTGACGGTATAATGTATAACGATTCGTCTGATTTCAATATAATAATAGGTAAGTTGTCAGTAAAATCCAGGAAATTATGTGTAAAATAATGATGGTGAGAAAAAAATGGATAAAAGATTCTATAATTATTTGACTACTGTTCATTTTTAAAAGCAAAAGAAGCTGTTATTATGTTATGGATTTGTATAAGTTAGGGAAATTAGATGTGAATAGCTTTAAAATAGAGAAATTACAGAAAAGAGCGATCATTATATGATAAATAAGCATAATGGGTTAAGTGGAACGCATAACACACTTTAAACAATAATTAAACAAAACTTACGTTATATCTTATTGGATATAATATACACGTTGGACTTCAAAGCATTCTTTATATCTCTATCATTACTAACGGTAGAATTTTGGGCGTTTTCGTTGTGGCTTCCATTATGAATCGATCAATGTTTTATCATATATGTTACTGCTTGTTTTAACTGCTATAGTACTAGTCTGTATTGTATCATGCTTTTCCCTTATATTCATCCAACCATCAGAATATATCTATTACCTAACCCATTTATGTTTTCTCTTCTTACTTGTAATTATTTCTGTAAAGGAAAGTATACACGTTTTTGTTTGTTTTTCTGAATGTCAAATGTACATTGAACCGTAGCTTGCTTATCTATTCTAAAACAACTGACCGACACACCCATATAAGATCTATTCTTGAACACATGCCAGATACGACCATAGCAGATCTAATAAATGGCAAATATGACCATTTACAGACCTGTTTACGAACAAATGTCAAATACGACCATTACAGACCTTTTTCAAGCCCATATCTTAGATACGACCATCACGGACCTATTCTAGATATAATGAAAGATACGAACGTTACAGTTTGTTTGAGAACACATGACAGATTCGATTTACTGTTTTAGAATAAATGACAGGTCCGATCTTTGCAAAACGTTTCTAAAACATAAACTTATTCCGCAGCTACAGCAAATATTAGGCCTATCTAGTCTTTTCGTCAAATCGCGATAAGGAAATTAAAACTGAATTACTTTAAATTCATCAGTATTTATTTTTCACAGACCTGATAATTGCAATTTTGAGTATCATAATTATATATTTTAACAATTTGAGTATAAAGAAGCAATAGGAAATTTTTATTTAGTTACATTACTTCATCCCAAGAAATCATTATTAAAATACTAGGAGATATGGTATTTCCTTTTTTTCAGTAAACAGCCTGTGTTTCAGTTTAAATCATGAACATACGATGTTTTTGAATGTATTTAAGGCAAACTTCACTTCTTAATACTGTTATAACACCTGATATACTATAAAAAACTTGCTTGACTTTCAAATATTTGAAACACATCAAAGATATGTTAGATAAAAGATAATGTGGATTTTCCCGATCTACAATATATCGATGATAGTATGTGATTAACCGATTAATTTCAAACTTGATTATATCCTTATCAAGTACTATTCCAAGAAACATTCAGAGTTTGTTAGTTGTGATAGTATGCATTGTATAACTAAAATAAAACCAAAGTACAACAAAGAATAATATTATGTCACTCTTATGGAACCAAAGTACAACAAAGAATGTAATATTATGTTACTCTTATGGAACCAAAGTACAACAAAGATTGGAAGGGATTTTATTTTATTTAACCTTATACATTTCAACCTAACCATTATTTCTATGCATATGTATTTTCTCAACCTTTCCCAATTTTACTCGAAACATCTGTAATACCTTCCTCCTAGATTTGTATGAACCACCCATATCTAATCTGTATCCAAGCTGATATCTCTTCTTAATCCAAGCTGAAATCCAAGCTGAAATCCCTTCTTAATCCAAGCCGAAATCCCTTCTTAATCCAAGCTGGAATCCAATCCTTATCCAACCCTGTGATCCCTTTTCCCATATATTCACAACCCCTCTCGGTTTACTAAATTATTTCACGTTCTAAAAATTGTTTCCTTATTTGACAGGTCCTAATGTCACCTCATCAAGTTCAGCTCCATCATCATCACCAACAGGACAGCCATCCTCAACCGTTGTTGTGGGTGGGCAGGATTCAGTTCAAGATAACCTTCCTGCTATTATTGGGGGTTCTGTGGCTGCAATAGTAGCTGTAACCATAACAATTTTCATATGTAAATATACACTAAAGAAAAATGGAAAATATGACGGACAGTCACAAGGACAGATAAATCATTATGAGACAAATTTCTCCTCTGGTAACACACCTCCCGCTTCTACACATCACATTGATTTGTATAGTAGTCTTCAAATGAAACAGAGTAGTAAATTGTAAGCCCTTTTGAATTGGATAGCTCACCTGGGAAAGAATTATAATACGGACATTTTTCGAATTATTGTGTAGTTTTAAGTATACTAGTAATCTGATGTTTTATTTTATAGAAAAAGAATTATGTGTGAGGGAAAACATAAGATATGTCCTATGCAATATGCGTTTATAAATTTTATGATAATATTTTGATTTGTTTTATTTATGCTTTTCTCAAATGACGGAAATACACTTAAAAGTTTTAAGGAAATTGCATTTATTACCTGGTAAATGTCTTAATCTAATAATATAAAAGCAAATGTTGCTTTCTTTTGTGTTTTCATAGGTTATATTTGTTGTATAGATATATAGTATTGTAATTTTGTAATTTTGTAAAGGGTAATCATATATATAAATAACTATGTTAGCATTTTTTAAATTAGAACTATAGATCAGACATATAGTAACAATAATAAACAAACGTTATTAAATATACAATAAATAGATAAAACACCAAAAAGAGGCAAACCTCCTTTTAATTTTGTACCATTAGCTGAAATCACTACGCAAAAAAATTGCAACGAGGGAGAGAGTTATTACACGTCATTTTTACATCGCGATGACCGTGAGGGCGTTCCGATGTATTGCTATCGCCTAGATTTCCATTGCGTAACATTCGTTTTGGGTTTTTAACCGATCTATAAACATGATAAATACGCGGATATTAACGAGTGCAAAATAACATTCCTTATCGATTGTTATAAATACATCTCTTCAATGAATACTGATAAAAATATTTTTGTTTAGAACATAAATTAATAATATGAAAATGTTTTGTCGTTAGATATATATATATATATATATATATATATATGTATATATATATATATATATATATGTATATATATAAGTACAAAATCATTGACAATATCTATGCACACGTACCGAAAAATTGTGTTGAAGCATGCGGAAGAATATCTCAAGAACGTTTTGCGACAATCCCGGCAAGGACCGGTAACTCTGCATGGAAGATTGTTTTTTTGCTGGAAAATATGAATGCCTACTCATATCCAATCTTTTAGAAAAATCGAATTTTTACAGAAGAGTGTCCACCATGCACTTGCACTGCACTATTATTAGAATAGTAGAATAGAATGATATAGAAATGGATGAAAATTTTATATACATGTAACTGTAATATTAATATAATATATAACAACAAACCAGTGTATACTGATTTGTATCACTACAATATAATAGTTATTACGGTGAGGTTGAATTTCCTGTCATTTATTCATCATCCACGCACGAAATTGTCATAGAAAAAAAAATATATCTCTGTACATTAACCTCAGTTTCAGGTATAGAGATGTGATTTCTTTCTGTGACAAGTGCTTTTGACTATCCACAAGAACTTGCAGTCATCCGATGTTCAGTACTTCAGTACTTTGATTATTTATTCTTGTCTATCATAAATAGAAAAATGATATCTTACAGAAATGGTAAGCTTTTTTTTGCAAATATGGATTAAATTTTAAAAACTAGAAATTAAGCGTTCAATCATACTTATAGAACACGTTAAACTGATACATACATGTATATGAATCTTAAATAAAAAACTATGATCAAAAGCTAATAATCGACCCCTTCCCACCCCCCCCCCCCCCCCCCCCCCTGAAAAAAACTTAAAACATTAGTATGAAGGTAGCAAAGACACAATCAATAATCGAAGAAAGATATTCAACATCACGGTCAAAGAGAAAAAATCCAAATTATAAGACAAACAACAGTCCAAAAACAACACAGAAACCTAAAGATTGTGGATCATAAACCCCGTCGAAAATCGGGGGTAAACGCGAATGCTGTGAAAAGATAAGCAGTTCCTACTATACTCCACTAGTGACATCCGTAGTTTTGCTCTCTACAAGTAAAAAGTCATGTAATTAGTCACATTCGTAGATCGATGTCCTAAACAAGGAAATGAGAACGGGATTGTGGCTACGACAAAGGGAACTGAAATTCCTATTTATGAGAGGACGCTATCTATGTAGCGGAACGTGAATTAACGGGATAGTAATGACTTCTTATTCTCCTTGTTTAGAAGCCTGTGAATAAAGCATTCTTCAAACAAATAAATGACCAAGTATATGCGAAGAGTAGGGAAGTTGGTTCTCATATTGAAAACGATTGTTTTTAAAAATCAAAAACAAAAAAACCACGCCTACCAAACATAACATATATGTTTCAATAAGATATTAACCATCTTGAAGATTTTAGATCCCGAGAAGTTTTAGTTATAATCATAGTGCGTTTATAAAAAATACGATTTGCTTCGTTCTTCAATAAGTTATTTGTATCTACATCTGCCATTCCTTTTTCTGACACGAAACCAAGTTGGAATAATTCTTTAATCTCTCTTCAATTTGGAATGAGAAATACTCGTGTACAGGGTTAAAAAGGGAAATGTTTTTGTATTAAAGCTCCTGGAGAGGGACATAGAATATATATTCTGTAAAAGAAAAGTTTAATTTTGTCGTACCTACATTTAAATATACCGCTACTTGAGAAAGTAGGTTCACAATAAATGCATAGCCTGGATTGCTATCTGATAAAAACGATGTTAGGCATTTAATAAGAAGTTTTATTGAGAAGGTACCAGACCAGCAATATAACGGTGTGTGTAAGGACACTTATGTAATGTGGGTATCTAGTACAGTGAAGGAAGATCCAGATCGTTATCCTTAAAACTCCAAAGAAGCATAAAACATGTCTGTCTAAGAGACCTGCATCTTACAAGTATATGAAATGGAGGGAAGACAGATGTCCAGCTAAGTTTGGTCTTTAAAGATAGATGGTAGTAATAGTCAACTTTAACTTCTTAACTATAGTTATTCCAATATGTTTCGCCGTTCTCACAACTCCAACGCATTCGGGAAGAGCATTTACATCTTCCTTTTAACGTTTTACAAATTGTCTACTATAATCATCGACACAGTTCATTAGAATTTCGAGTGTGATGATTTAGGCTCATGGTATTTTGTCACGTTGGCTTATTCATTTTATAGAAGAGTGTTGTTGGTAAGGTTAAGGTCACCGGTTATAACGTTATATAAGTATGCGAACTGGCACAAGTGCAATTAGGAGGTTCAAACTTGAAGTCATCAATGTAAAGATCCTAAAGATAAAAAAAAAATCATTGTAAAGATCCTGCGTTCTTGTAGTTACAAATCGCATTTGCTATAGGCATGGTATAGGTATAGGTATAAGAGACGATATGAGCATACTAATATGTGAAGAGATGTATCTTAGAGTTGATTGATGTATGACGAAGTATATTGTCAAATTAATGGCATCAAGACCTTTGACAAAAACTGGGACAGAAGATACCAAAGGGGCAATGAAAAACAATAAGTCTAAGTAAAACTATGATGAAAGACAGAATACAGACCAAACAAAATTATTAGTGGTAGTAAGTGAAGTTTTGTTTGGGTGGGAAGATGTAAACTAAATGGCCACTGTATAGACGGTAGAATGCAATTTATTGAAAAATTATGAAAAAGGAGAAGAAGTTATTAAGGGCAGAAGAAGTGAAGGTGGTGATAAGTGACGATGACTATTGCTAAGAATATACCTAGAAGCAAAATATCCTATTCACAAAGGGGCTTGATAGAATAACTATACTATCATTTTTGTCATTAAATCCTTTAAGTGCTGCAACTCATAGTTCACGGATCCGTTCGTTTTCCTTTTGTTTTTGGTGTCAGACCACCAATTCAAAATCCCTATCTATTTTGCAAATTTCACAGCTTTCTAAATATTTTACCTTAAGCTTAAAGGGAAAATTTGCGATTTTTTACTTACAGTTTAAATATGTTCATTATAACATAAAATACATATTCACAAAGTTTTATTGCTATATGTGAAGTAATAAAGAAGAAAATCAATAATTATTAATTTTTTTATTGACTACTTCCTGTAGTACGTGACGTTAACTCCTGGTATTGCATGCCGGGATTTGAATTACAATCATTTATAGTCATGATCTTAATCATATTTTAACGTTATCATATAAGTGCGCCGATGACTAATTTTGATAGCTAATTACCATCCGATAGTAAGAAAATAAAACGAACAGACATACAACTTTTTACATTCATGAGATAAAATTTTCTATATTTACCGTATATATTTCGATTTATTTTTGTTGACAGCACAAAAAGTAAATCTTTTAAAAATTCTAATATTTGCTTTTTTCCGACGGATATGGTGAACAAATTAAACTATATAACTTAAACTGTAAGGAAAATATATAGGCGTACGCTTATTGACCTTTTACTGTATACGCTAGGACTAGGTATATATTCTCTGGCAATACTCGTGGAAGGCTTATAAAAAATTTCCAGATCGGCAATTAGCCGGGCCTCTAGGGCACGCCGTGCCAGGTGTGACTCTCAATTCGAATGGATTATAAGACAGAAGGTCGAGTTTAATACACAAAGTTAAAATACATATTGAAGGTGGTGGCAAATACAAATAGATAGCCGTGGAATATTTAATTGTATTTGGGGTTAGGTCCGGTGAAACTAATCCGGATATTAAACATGTATTTCACTTACATGTAGGATGAATAAATCTGATGTAATAAAAATGACAAACAATGTTAATACTAAATCTAATGGAAAGATATTAAATCCAAATGATTCTTTTTTATTTGATCACATTAAAAACTTTGAAATAATATCGGGAAAGTAATACTCAAGTGTTAAAACAAGAGTATAAACGCTTATCATTTCAATCACATAAAAAAAAAACAGAATTTCATAGAAACCAGGTATATCCTGAATTGTACATGTATCATCTTTCTACATGCTTTCAACCTATGTTTAAAGTCTTCTAAGGATATACTAACGTTCGGAAGACAAGTACTGCTAAAAATAACCCCTGGTTTTCTGGAAATCTTAAAGGGGCATTAGCTGTCAAGTTCATGTTCACAGATTTGACTAAAATTCTCACATCTGATTTATAACATACTAAAACGTTTATCATAATTATAAAAAGTCTAAAATAAACAATTTACAATGTATTGGCTCGATAATATGTATCAGCATTCCGTTCGTATTTTAGTCTAGACGCCATGTAATTAACCTTCGAGGTGAACTCCGAAGACTGCCGATGGTCATTTAACCCGATATAAGATATAAATAGACTACCGAACTGGTGCAATTGGATTTTTCTAGGTCTGTTTGATTTCATATTATAGGTTAAAAATATATGTTAATCATCGTTTTTACCTGTATAAGAATGATTTTTTGTGAATCAGTCAATCGAATGGTTTATCCTTGTTTCACTTTCAATGTTGACATTCTTTTCCTTTTAATAAATGAACACACCTAATTTATGCGTAAAACATCTGTAGCTAAGGGGTTAAATTGAAGTTCACATGGATACGGATTCAATGAGGTCGAATTATTCACTTGCAAGTGAATAATTCGTCAGCGATGTTTCTTAGCTTATTTTGACAAAATTGAACAAAACTGGCTTCTAAAAGCGAATTATTATTTCACTATTTAACTTTCATTAATGATTGAACAAAAAAAAATATATTTTAATTTTTTTTTATATCTCGCTGCTAATGCCCCTTTAAATAAGTATACTGTGGAGCGCATTAATCCTCAATTTTTAATGCAAACTCATGGACAAGTAAATTTTGGCTCAAAATGGTCTACATATATTTCTCTTTCAACAAAAGTTTTAT